CTGAAAAAAAAAAAAGCCTATTACTGGCAAGTTAATTCTGACTTCTAGTGACCCTGTAGGACTGAATAGAACTGCTTCATAGGGTTTCAAAGGCTGTAAATCTTTATAGAGGCTGACTGCCACATCTTTCTTCCACAGAGCAGCTGGTGGGTTCAAACTGCAGACCTTTTGGCTAGCAGTCAAATGCTTAACCTTTGCACTACTAGGGCTTCTCCAAAAGAAACAAACTCCCTGTGTGAGTTCTCTGGAGAAGGAAAATCAGTAAAGCTTATATATAGAGAGAAAATAACTTATCCTAGGAAGATGGCTCACACACTTCTAGAAGCTGGCAAGTCCCAAGTTCTTGGATCAAACGTCAAGCTGGAGTCGTTTCCCAACTCATGCAGCTGTAGGGGCTGACAAGCTCAAGGTTGGCAGGCAGTATACTGCCTGTTGACTCCAACGAATGATGAATGCAAGATCTCCAGGCCAAATGGTAGATTGTTAACTCATGGACAGCTGTAGGGAGCACAAGAGGATCCTGATCCACAGAAGAGAGTCACTTTTTTCCAGGTTGTCCATAAGTATATTGGAAGCAGGCCACACTCCTAGGCAAACTCCCTTTCAACCGATAGGCTGCTCAAAACATATACATCCAATCTCATCATGGGAATAACCCACATCACAACTGCTTAAATCACTCAGAATTGTGGTCCAGCCAAGTTGACACACAATTCTAACTATCACATTCACTGCCATTAAGTTGATTCCAACTCATAGCAACACACATTGGGTTTCCAAGGCTGTAAATCTTTACAGAAGCAAACTGCACCATCTTTCTTCCACAGAGCAGCTGCTGGGTTTGAACCACTGACCTTTTGATTAGCAACCAAATGCCTTAACCACTATACCACCAGGGCTTGTAGGGGGATATAACAGATGAGAATCCTGCCAACATTCTTATTGGTGGAAGTCAAACATATAAACAAACAAAACTATTTCAGAGAGCTATAATGTAATAGTGTAACTAGAGGAGGGGAAGAGGTGTGCTACTTTATATTTTATGACCATAGAAAGCCTTTCTAAGGAGCTGAGCATGAAATGGTACAAAAGAAAAAGCTATGTAAAGGAGTAGGGCATTCCAGGCAGAAGAAACTAGTACAAAGACTTGACAGAAGCTTGTCATGTGTGAAGAACTGAGAAAAGGCCAATGAGTTTATATCATATGAGTTTAGAGAAATAGACAGGGCCAAGTCTAGCAAAATCTTGTAGGCCATGAAAAAGAGTTTAGATTTGATTCTAGGCACAAGATGATGACAATAGAGGGCTTCAGAGGATAGCTCTATTGAGAATGGATTAGAAAGGAATAACAGATATTTATCACACTACTAATACATGTCCATCGCATGATTATAGCAGACAGTAGGCAAAGTTTCTTTCTAAAGGAGAAGAGCCAGTTAACTACTAAAAACCAAACTTACAGCTGTCAAGTTAGATCCAACTCATAGCAACCCCTCCTTGGGTTTCTGAGGCGGTGTCACTACGGAAGTAGATTGCCCAACCTTCCTTCTGAGGAGTGACTGATGAATTTCAACCACTAGCCTTCTGGTTAGCAGTCAAATGCCTTAGGCACAACACCACCATGAGCTCCTAGTTAACCACCAAATAAATAAATTTCAGATTATGGTAGTTTTTACTAGAGAGAGGTCTGCTTAAGATAGGGTGGTATCTTAGTTATCTTATGCTCCTCTAACAGAATACCATACATGGGTGACTTTTAACAAAGTTAAGAGTTAATAGTTTAAGAGACTAGGAGTTCAAATTTAGGGTGCCAGCTCTAGCCAAAGGCTTTCTCTGAGCTCTGGGGGAAAGTCCTTTTCTCCTTTCAACATCTCTGGGCCCAGTGTCCTTTAGTCTTGGTGTCCGTGTGTTTTGGCATCAATTGTGGTGGTGGTCATGTCCCTCCCTCTCTGCAGGCTTCTTTCTGCTTTTATCTCTTGTAAGATAAAAGGTGATGCAAGCCCCACCCTGGAAAAACTCCCTTTACATGGGATCAGGGCTGTGACCTGAGTAAACCTGAGTTAAAGGTGTTGCATCACACCCTAATCACATCATGGGGGATGATTACATCATTGCATAATTGCCAATCCACTGAGAATCATGGCATAATTTGGGGGGGAGAAGGGGTAAGGAACATAATTTTATCCAATGACAGGTAGCTTAATGGTTTTTGGAAGAGGTACCATTTGAGCTGAGACTTGAAGGAGAAGGACCAGGCTTCATCGTGAGAAGCTGAGAAGCAACACAACAAGCGTTATATGAAATACATTTACCGTAATCCAGAAAGAGGCCATATCTCAGCCCTCAGCTAGTAGGTACTACCATGTGGATGAACCTCTACCACACCTCCACTCAAACCTCCAGGTATCTTTTATCAGAGAAAAAAGTCACCCTGACTACCATTAAATCACCCTATCACAATTTAGCAAGATTTAAGTTGTTTAATTTTAAATAACTGGTAAATATGTTTAGCTTATATGTATAAGACTCAAAACATTTCAAATCTCTAAGTACTTGTTGCCCACTTCAGAATCCAAGAATGCTTACTTAAAAGCATTATGTTACCTTTGTTATTTACAGTCACTTTCTAAAAAGCAATTTAAAGTCATTTAATTTGGATTAGGGAGCTCTGGAGGCATAGTGCCTAAAGCACTTGACTGCTAACCAGAAGGCTGGCAGTTCAAACCCACCAGCCACTCCTTGGAAGGAAGACTGGGCAATCTACTTCCGTAGTGATACTGCCTCAGAAACCCAAGGAGGGGTCACTATGAGTCGGATCCCACTTGATGGCAGTAGTTTGGTTTTTTTTGTTTCGTTTTATTTTCAATTTGGATTAAAGTTGTGAACAGATTTATGTGAAACACTGACTTATCCTCTCCTTTTTTTTCCCCTGTCCCCTGTATGCTCTACTACATTCATTGATGTATTTGCAGCACATATGAATATATAAGTAGAGATAGTCTCTGTCATACCCATATATATTTGTGGGTATATCCTCTCATTTCATAAAACTAACCTAATTTAGGGTTTTTATAAATATAGCACTCAAATTTAGATTTACGCAATCACAGCATAACCTGGATATGCCACATGCATCCATAAAGTAGGAATTACAGAAATGTTTCTTAAAAAAAAAAAAAAAATTCCAGGTGATACTGTAGAAGAATGCTTTTTGAAAATTACAGTTACTTGAAGAATTTTTAATACTTTGATTCGGAGTTCAGTTTTATTGGAGGACAGATGTTTTATATGAAAATGGTTTTGAAGAATAAATCCTTATTCCCCATTCTTGTGTCTTTATGCTGTATGAGACGAAGAGACCTCCACCTCTCTCCTCTTAACCACTGTGTTTCCACGCTGCTCTGATTTGAGGTGAAGGCTGTTGTTTTTTATCTTTATCAGTAAGTGCTTCAAGTCATCTTCACTTTCAACAAGCAAGGTTGTTTTGTCTGCATATGGCAGGTTGTGAATCAGTCTACCTCCAATCCTGATGCCATGCTTTTCTTCATATAGTCCAGCTTCTTGGATTATTTGTTCAGCGCACAGATTGAGAGAGTATGGTGAAAGGATACAGTCCTGACACACACGCTTCCTGATTTTAATCCATGCAGTATCCCTTTGTTCTGTTCGAACAACAGCCTTCTGGTCTGTGTATAAGTTCCTCATGAGCACAATTAAGTGTTCTGGAATTCCCATTCTTCACAATGTTATCCATAATTTGTTACAGCTGCAACAATGGGCTCAAGTATAGCACGGATTGTGAGGATGGCACATGAGCGGGAGGTATCTCGTTTTATTGTACGTAGAGTCGCCATGAGTTGGAGCCAACTCATTGGTGCCTAACAGCAACTGATTTGCAAGAGGCAGATCTGGGTGGTCAGAAAGTCTTTATTCAAGTTTGGACCCTCCGGGTATCTATAAAACAGTCTGTTACACAGTTGTCCTTAGGTGTGGATGTTGTAATTTTCAGTTACACAGAGGAGTATTGCCATGTGTAGGAAATAATAGGAGAAAAAGATACTTCCTAGAAAAGGAATGCTTATTTACTGTTAAGAGATCAGAAAGGTGCCCCTTTGGTTAGAGCAGATTTTAAATTTGAAGAGTAAGGCGGGCTCTTCTGGGATCACTTTGGCAGTATACAGTAATGGCTTATTTGATTATATAAAGAAATAAACCCTCTCTTCAGTAGGGAAAAAGTGATAGCCTTGTATGTTTATTTTTGTTAAGTCCAAGATCACTTCTTATCAGAAACTAGAAACTAAAAAGATTCTGAAGTACTGTAAAAGCTATGAAAACCAGGTGCAGTTTCAAAAGTCAGGAAACTTTAGATATCTACTTAAAAATGGCAGATGTGACAATGAGTGCTGAGAATCTTAAGAATTTATTTGGTTCTTTTAGTTAAAAGAATATTCAGTCACATGTTTGTCAGAGACAGATTTGAAAGTTCTGTTTCTGGCCCTCTGCATACCTGAAAACAGTATCACACTGTCTTTAGGAAAGAATATTGTTATTGGGAAAAAAAAGCCTCCATTTGTTTGCTATTTGGGTCAAACCTAAAACTGTGTTGTCTAATTTTAAGTGCTACCATAAAACCCTGATTTAAATGAGCAACCAGTAATAAATTCTGTAGGAATAAATTTTAAGCATTTAAGTATTTTCTCCATTGTAACATTAGATTAGTCAGTAGTTTCTTAAGGAAAAATTTCCAAAATTCTGTTCCTATTGGCAGTTAGCATTAATGGCAATAGTTATATCTTCCTTTATGAAATGTACTTTTTGAGGAACTAGCACTACTTCTTTTCTAACTCAAGCAATGATGTTTGTCTTTCACAGGCAGAGAATGACTCTACCCTGCATGTATGACCAATGTAAACATATGCTCTATGTTTCCAGTGAGTTGCAGAGACTTCAGGTATCTTATGAAGAGTATCTCTGTATGAAAACTTTACTGCTTCTCTCTTCAGGTTGGTAGAACACTACTTCATTTGCGAGAAATATGAAAGTCTAGAAACATTGGTTTATTAATATGCGCAGTACTAATAGTTGTACCAAGTCTACTACTAATTCCTGCTAGTTAGATGATTTAGGTTTTTATAAATGTAAAGTTTAAATAAGGCACAGTCTGCAGTAAGAAAGATTAATAAGAAAAATAGGTAGAGTGGACAAATGGTGTATTGTGCAGAGGTCTC